GCACTAGAATCAGTGACACCAGATATGTTAACTAACACTTGGAGAGAGATCGAATACCGGTTAGACATCTGTAGAGCTACAAATGGGTCACATATCGAGGTGTACTAATGTCAAAATAAACTTGAGTAAACCCTCTTTAATTTCATGTATTAGATATAAGAATATGTATTCTCTACAATAAACAATCGTTTATCAAAACTAGGGAGTTATTTTTCGGACACCCGGTATAATGATCTAGCAATGCTCTTCATTTTCACTATTCCAATGTGAGATGAATGTAATTCTTTTAGTACTGTTGGTTGAAGTGTTTTAGGGGTGTAAACCCTTGACCCTCGCATAATAATACCGGAATGAAGGGTGAATTCTGGATTTTTTATTTCTCCTTCAAGAAGCTTTCTTTTAAGGCTTTGTAATTCATGGTCTCTATTTGTCTCTAATCTGATTGTGTCTGAGGTAACAGCTGAGGTGTCTGTAATCATGTCAAGAGTTGTCTGATTTACCTTGTATGAGTCTTCAAGGAAGTTCACCAACTTTACATCCAGAGGAATTGGATTTTGAGAAAAGTAGTCTGCATTTGTATGTTCTTTTGATGGTCTCTGTTTGATTTCGTAATCAAATGCACTTAAGAATTGAGCGTACCTTAATAATCGATGTGCTGAGAGGACTGGCATGGCTTTCCTTGGATTGAATATTTGTTGAAGTGGCTCTACAATCAATATAAATTTTCTGCCGTAAAGATACTGGTAAAATCTCTTAATACCCCAATACACAGCAGTGGCTTCTTTGTCAAGTTGACTATAAGCCGTTTCACTTTTAGTTAAGGATCTGGAAGGAAATGCGATGGGTTTTTCTTGACCATTTATGACATGGGACAGTACTGCTGAAAGACCAGTAGGTCCTGCATCTGTAGCTAACGTAACAGGATAGTCCGGATTGAATGGAGTCAACACTCTTTCACTTGTGATTTCTTCTTTGATTTGATTGAAAGCGTTTTCACATTTGTTATTCCATTTGAACTTAACATCTTTCTTTAGAAGCTGAGTTAATGGATGAATTATTGAAGATGCCTTTGGAATGAACTTCGCATAGTACAGTGCCAACCCGAGAAATGATCTAACTTCCTCTACATTAGTTGGACGAGGTGCTTTTGTAACAGCTTCTATTTTATTTTGACATTTAGTGACACCATGACTTGTTATACGATGTCCGAGGTAATTTATTTCAGATTGAAACAATTTGCACTTATTCATGTTTACATGTAAACCATATTTCCTCAACGTCTGGAGACACTTTTCTAGTCTTTGATAGCACTCTTCAAAAGAATGCCCTTGAATAAGAAAGTCGTCAAAATATGCAATAGTTCCATCTAAGTTAGATACTACCTGGTCAATGATTTTGTGAAACTCTTTTGGTGCATTTGTGATACCCATAAAGAGTCGTTTTGCTTTGTAAGTTCCCCATGGAGTGGAAACTGCAGCATAGTTTTGACTTTCTTCTAACTGTACATGTAAGTAAGCTTTATGCAGATCTAAAACACAGAAGTATTTTCCTCCATTTAATTTATTTAAAAGATCTTCGATTCTGGGAATAGGATATTGAGTATCTTCTAGTTGAGGGTTTAGTGTAATTTTAATTTTATAATCTGCACAGATCCTTACAGATTGATCTGGCTTAGGAACAATAACTAGTGGAGTACCCCACGCCGAGTGATCAACTTTTTCTAGGACCCCTTGATCAACTAAGGATTGTATTTCTCTTTTAGTTTTGTCTAGCAAGGCATAAGGAATAGGTCTAGGCTTCATAAATATGGGTTTTGCATTTTCTTTCAGTTTTAAAGAACATATGAAATTTGGAATGACACCTATATTTGATTGAAATACATCTTTGTACTTGTTTAAGAGTTCAGTTTTGAATGATTCGATATTATTCTTGTCTGGGTCCAAACGGTTACCAGTATTTATTAAATTAATCGCTGATACTTGTACGTTTAGTTTTCTAATCCAGTCTCTACCTAATATAGGAGTGTAGTTCCCTTCTACAACATACAAATTACCGTGAGTTTTAATCTGTTTGAATGAAATTTGTACCCTTGCTACACCTATTGGTGAAAAAGATTGATTTGTATATGAGCGAAACCTTACATTTGATGGTTTCAACTCACAATTCAGTTTCAAACTTTGAAAATCAGTTAATGATACTATAGTAACTTGACTGCCAGAATCAATTTCAAATTGTTTTGAGCTTCCACCAACCTTGACTGTGACTACAAAAGGATCGTCTCGAGGTTCACCTAAATTGTAATAAATAGGTACAGTTTTTTACCTGATTGCAGTCATATTCAGAATCTACGTCGCTTCTTTCAGATTCTGATTCTTGTACTTGCTTTATTGGCTGCCTTATAAGAGATGAAATGCAGACTTTCTCTATGTGGCCTTGCTTATCACAAGATTTGCAATAAAGGTTCTTGGATCTACAATCTGATGCTTTGTGATTATTCTTCCCACAGCGTAAACACGTGTTTTCTAATCCAAGTTCTGTAAGCAGACTTCTTCTCTTGAAGTTTCTAGATGATTGTTGGCTTTTTCTAGCTTTATTTCTCATAGAATCGAAACGAGACACAATTTTCGATGATCTGGATTTAGAAATTTGTTTAACATCTGTATCGGTACTGTATAACTTGTTTTGTATTTTAGCAGCTTCAATTGCTAGTGAAATTTCAACTGCTTTTTCAAAACTGATGTTGTTTCCTTGCTGGAGAATCTGTTCCCGAATTTCACTGTCACGAAGTCCACGAATAAATTGGGCTTGTAAAATGCTATTTACTGGTTTCCCACAATTTTTTTCTTGGCAATTCCATTTTGAAGATATAGATAGCTGTTTTAAAACTGTAATGTATTGAGAAATTGATTCATTAGTACCTTGTTCCCTTGATAAAAATTTGTGTCGTTCTGTGATAACATTTGTCTGTGGACAGAGCTGTTTCTCCAGTAAATCAGTCAAGGTTTCATAGTCTTTTGAAGATGGAAGGTCAGGTGCTGTTAAACTTGATAGAAGGGAATAATATTTTGCACCGAGTGCATTTATCAATATTCTTGCTTTTGTTTCCTTGATTTCATTTGACTCTCCATGTAACTTTTTCAGTTCAAAGAAGTTTTCTAATCTCTCTTTATAAGATTTGAATGTTTCTACTTTTTCATCAAAAGATTCAAAGGTTACAGAAGAATTTAAGATATGTGTTGTGACTTTACTGTCTTCCACATTGTTTTCTGGTCTATGACTTGCAAGTTGTCTTACTAAATGGGCAAGAGCAGCAGTTTGGGCTTGTAATGTTTCCAATATTGCTTTGTTATGTTCAGTCACTTCTTGATTATCCATTTAGAATGTCCTGTTCTCTTCAAGCTTGTAAGTAATGCCTAATCTTTTTATTTGCACCTCTGAGTCGCCATTGTTACGTACTTAGACATTAGACATTAGACATTAGACATTATTTATTTGCACATAACATTCTTTTAGATGTGATAATATATAGAACAGGTGCATTGTCAAAATTGAGCCTAGACTAGAAAAATACAAAGTACAAAGTAACAGGAAAAAATACCTAGCCAAATAATGTTAATACAGTACAGTAGTTAAGCAAATTAAAAACAAAAAATTAACTCAAGGGATGGTTATAAAATTCTTCTATTTTATAAAATGCACGTTCAAGGAGTCCATTTTTCAATGTTTCTTGAAACTTGTTTGAACTCATTATTTTATAATATACCGGTAGTTTATTATACATTTTTAAACCTGCATACAAAGGACTTTTTTCAAATAAGGTCAAACGGTGATTTGGTAATCTGAAAATTGTTTCGTTTCTTGTACTATAGTTGTGTGTGAATTTGAATGAATCCGGGAGGTTATTTTTTATATTGTGTATGTAGTTTAATAATTCAAATATGTATAGTCCTGTGAGTGTTTGGATTTTTAAATTTTGAAAATGTAATTTACAAGGACTTCTGGGGTGGGAATTAGTCATAATTCGGATGATTCTTTTCTGAAGTCTGAAAATAGTTTTTGCATCAGTTGCCTGTCCCCACAAAATCACACCATACCTCAAGATGGATTCTACATAGGCATGATAAACCATTTTAAGTACTTCAATGGTGACACATTCTCTCAAGTGGACAAAGACAGATGATGCAGATCTAATTTTTTTCTTTATAGCATCTAGATGCACCTTCCAGTTAATATTTTCATCTAGATGAATGCCTAGGAATTTATTTGTATGGACTAAATTGGAAAAACTATTTAATTCTCTTTCATTTCTGGCTGAAAATTTTATAATTTGGGTTTTATCCACATTTAGTTTAAGGCCATTTATTTTAAACCAATTTTCCATTTCTTTCATAACTTCTGTGAGAGATGTAAGAAGCTCTTCTCTACTATTTTCTTTAATGATTGCAGTAGTATCGTCAGCAAACAGAATCAAATCTCTATTAATAGCTTTAGGGAGGTCATTTATGTAGATTAAAAAGAAAAGGGGACCTAAAATGGAGCCTTGAGGCACCCCAAGCTTTATACATTTCCAATGTGAGAAATGCCTAGTTCCTTCATCAGAAATTACAGTTCTTTGTTTCCGATCTGAAAGGTATGATCTAATTAGGGAAAGACAACTTCCTGAAATTCCATAGTCATGTAGTTTTTGAAGCAAAAGCGAATGATCAACACAATCAAAGGCCTTGGATAGATCACAGAAGACACCAGCTGCATTCCTTGACCCATCCAAAGCCTCCGATACCTCATTAATAAAGTGTACAAGAGCTGTATTTGTTCCAAGGTTTTTCCTGAAACCAAATTGATTTTGATAAAACAGATTATTATGTTCAAAGAAACAAACTAATTGGTTATTTATAACTTTTTCAAAGACTTAACAGATATAATAATATATAACACCTACCCTAAGCTTATAGTGCATGATCCCGCTTGGTGCTGAGTGCTTGTTCTGTTGGGTAGGTGAGATGTCTTCCGACCCCCGCCCGCCGACGCCGGACCGAGATAACCTCGAGCCTGAAGATATGGAGTTGGACCGGGAGATCGAGGAGTTTCTGGGGGCCAACTGGGCCTGGATTGCGCGATTGCTCGATTGCTCGGACCTCGAAGTCGGGGAGATCCGGTCCCGATCACCTTCACCGGCGGCAATGCATCTTCCGCTGGAGGAACAACCACCATCCCCTGCGGTGGAACCCCAGCAGGTTGGCGGCCATCTTCCAGCTTCGCCGCCTTGCCGCCGGGTCCGATTTGCTTCGCCCTGTCAACAACCTTGCCTTGTCTCTCCGCCCCGTCAACGCCCTCGCCCTGTCTCTCTGGCCAATCAACGTCCTTGTCCTGTCTCTCCGTCCCGTCAACGCCCTTACCCCGCTGCGCCGCCCCGTCACCGTCTCCGCCCCGCCTCGCCGCCCCATCGCCGTCGTGGCCCTGCTGCGGCGCCCCGTCACCGTCTCCGCCACGCCTCGCCGCCCTGCCGTCGCCCCAGCCCTGCTGCGCCGCCTCGTTCCCGCCCCGTTTTGCGGCCTCGCCGCCTGCCTGAACGTCCTCGTCGAGCTTCCCCTCCTTGCCGTCCACGATGGGAGGAAGCACCGGAGGGTGCCGCATCAAACCCAGCGCGCCGCCGACCTACCCCCATCATCTGGGAACTGGCGCTGCCAAGGAGTCCGGCCAGATTCCCCGTTCGCCGGACGGAGACCGACGAGATCGTCGCCGGGAATGACCTTCCACTGTCACGGGCCGTCCTCCTTCGGCTGGCAGCCACCTACAACCAACTGACGCCGGAGCAGAGAAGAAACAAGCGGTGGAGGATTATGCTGGGGGCCGACCGATATGTGCGGCTCCGGCCGAGCCAGGTGCTGCGAGTCGTCCGGGGCCGGCTGCCGGAGCTGAGGCGACGGTTTCAACCCCGCTGAGCCATTTGACCCCAACTGCCTTGAGCAGTTGTAGTGGGCCTGCTGGCTCCTTGTAACCACCTCTACGGTGGTGTGAATCGACCCGACTGATTAACCCCCTCCACCGGGGGGTGATAGGTTTGTCTTCTTGGTTTTCTTGCCCGCCCTTCCCTCGCCCTTAACCCCTCCATTACCCTCAGTTTTCCGCCCGAGTTTCGTTCTTCCGTTACCTCTACCCTTCCAGTTTCCTTTTTCCCCTTCCTTTCTCTTCTTCGTTGTGACCTCTGAGGCAACTCGGCCACAGGCTGTCTGCTTCCTACCTGACTTCGTCCGCTCTTCGTCTTTTTTCTTTTTTTTTCTTTTTTGTCCTGAAGTGTGGAGGGGTTGTAACGGGCCAAAAGTTAAGGGGGGGGGGGGTAAAATATTGGTAGGCCTAATTAAAGGATAGTTATTTCGAACTGTCTGTAATTACATTTTGTTACTTCCATGAAAGTTAAACAGCCAGTTGTGGGCTGTTGTGAAAGTCTAGTCATCGTTCTAACATAACCTCGAAACCAATCCGAGGTGACAGGTGCAACGACAGACGACCGGGAGAGAGGAAGTAAAACTGCATCTCTGTGTTTTCGGATAGCAGGGTTTCTGTTGCTTCGGTTTTACTTCTTCCTAACTTCCCGAGTTTGTCTTACGACTTCCCTCGAGTGTCAGGCTTCGTTTTTTTTCTTTTTTTTTCTTTGTAACCTCTGACCAATGAGAGGTGAGTATGACGACAACGACGCGACCCTGAGCCGAGGAGAAGAAAACCGCCATTCTGACTCCGACCGGCTTCCCTTCGAGTAAAGAATTTCGATATTTGTCGTTGTAACCAACTAGTTTAGTGGAAAATATAAGGTAGTGACTCTCGTTCTCGATTAACGTTTCTTAGCCTGTCTTGGGACCTTCTTTTTGATTTTTTAAATATTTTAAACTTCGTTTGACCATCTCTAAGTTTGTCCCAGCAGACAGGTTTCGTCGTGCCTAGTTTGGCATAAGTTTGCTCAAGTGCCCAGGTGAGAAAGTAAAAATTTTAGTTTTCGTTTTAAGCTCAAGGAACCATTTTATTTTTTGTATATATTTTTTTCCTCGTTTCGTTTCTCACAGATAACTTGAGCCAACTTATTTTTTTAGTAATTTCGGACTCTGTGGGACTTAGGCTAGGCCTATCTTCAGCTAACCTTTGTCTGTTTCAGGTTAATACTTTTACCTTAACTCCGTAAGCGGGGTGACTAATTAGTTTACTATTTGTCTAGTTAAGTAGCTAGTAGAGTGTCAAGTAGTTATTACCCAAAGAGTCCCATCAGAATTATCGATTCCCCACAAACTCCCCTGACTAGAGCAGTGATTAAAAGTGTAGTGTCTGGTAACCCGCTAGATTTGTTCTGAGCACTGATAACCGAGGCTATCAACACTAAGGCTATCCTAATCACTTTCAACTCCTGGGAAAATCCCCGCAACCCGACTCTTGCAATTCCTGGGTCTTTGTATCGTTAAGGTGACGTAATTTCCTACGTTACCATTCTACGTTTCGTCGTCAGGAAATTTACGTCACATATTTGCTTCTTATGATGTTTATATTCATTGGTTTACCAGAATGTTTGTTGGAGACAGCACTGTTGTTCAATCTAGTTTGCTAATATGGGATTATAGTTTGTGTTTGTTATGTGTAGCGGAGCCTGGCTCTGAAAGTCTATCTGGCAAAGTCATGAAGGAGCTGGACAAATCTTCGTCTATCTGGGACACACAAGTGGATAGAAACATAATAGCAAACTTGTTGATGAAAGAGCAGATGAAAGAATTGTTCAAAGGCTTTGTTATTATCTACGATATCCAGAGAAACAGCACATTGAATTATAATAAAGTCAGTATACTGGAAGAGTCTTTCAAGCGATCAAAGTTTGGACCTTGCCACTGGGACAAACAGAACACGAATAATAATGTGTTTCCTATGTAAGTATATTAGTTTAAGTTTCCTGACAGTTTGTCTAAAAAATTGGCAAAAAAATTAAAATTACTGTATGCCTTCAAGTAGGTTTCTCTAATAACAAAACAAGTTTTCTTAGCACTACTATCAGGAAAGACATTTCCTGTTTTGTTTGGTAGTCAAGTAGACCTACAGCTTAACACTTACGGGTGTCTCGGCGGCATACAGAGCAGTGTGACGGCCGGTACCTGTTAAACCTGTTAAATTGTCCCAAACTACCCGATATCAGCACTACCATATAGCTAAGACCAGGATTTGACATAATGTCCTGCATTTTAACTAATATGCCAGCCAGATCCCTGTGTTTTGGATATGATTCTTCTTTTATTCTGATTATTTTTTATTTTAATTACTACACAATTCTCAAGCATTCATAAGAGCTGAAGGTTATTTCTTGTACAGTCTATTTCTAGGTACATTTAGGACAATATTACATTATTATCTACAAAGGTATTTGTTTTAGGCTTCTATCACAAACAATGTTGAATTGCTCCTGGGTCATAATTGACATTATTAAAGTAATAGTACTTGTATATGTTTCTTTAATAGGGCTGTAGGATTGTCGTTTGATTGTTTGAGTCAAATCCCTTTCCTACGGTTGAAATCTAAATTTGTAACATGTTTCTAGACGATTGGCTCTGAAGTGGCGTAACGTGGTGCTGGCAGAGGCTGTTGGAGAGAATGAAAATGGATTGAAAACCAGATTAGCACAAGCAGTGTTAAGCAAGTTGTCAGACTTCTCTATAGGAATTGAGGTGAAGGAAGTTTGTCATTTATCTACTAATAAGGCTCCCATGATTTTATTTTAAACGATTGCTGTCTTTAAAAAAAACTCTCCTCTAAAAGGTCTTTGAAGTCCTTTCTAAAAATACAAAAACAAAACAAAAAAAAATCTTTTTTCCCAAAAATAACTCTTTTGTACACCTTTTTACAATAAACTTTCCTAAAAGACCTAATCCTACAAAAAACGCCCTCCAAGTATCATCATTTAAAAAAAAAGTATTGTATTCCATTAAAAGTTCCTTTGCATTGAAAACAGGTTTTTAATTCATTCGAAAGAACTCGATTAAAACAAGATCGTTTAGATCCTCCTATAAACAAATAATAAGGTATTTTTTAAGTCCTCTATAACCTCACTGTTAACAACAAAACAATTAAGAAACAATTACTATGACAAATAATATCTGTTTAGAAATAACTGAACTTGATCAACTGATTTATTTTGTTTCAGGCCAAATGGAGTTACTATAGGGATGGCATATTGTCGGAGAGATTCGAGAACCCGAACCCCAGGAAAAACCATATTTATAGGTAAGTAATTTGTCCTAACACGCTAATTTTTTATTGACATGTCTCTCTTTTGGAATACATTTACATAGTGATGTACATGTTTCAGGGTTTTACAGAGGTCCCAGTTCAAGGAGGTGACAGAGATCATCAGTTACATTGACACTTTCTTGACTTGTCTGTTTTGGGATACATTTACAATGTGCTGTACATGTTTCAGGGTTTTACAGAGGTCCCAGTTCAAGGCGGTGGCAGAGATCATCAGTTACATTGACACTTTCTTGACTTGTCTGTTTTGGGATACATTTACAATGTGCTGTACATGTTTCAGGGTTTTACAGAGGTCCCAGTTCAAGGCGGTGGCAGAGATCATCACTTACATTGACACTTTCTTGACTTGTCTGTTTTGGGATACATTTACAATGTGCTGTACATGTTTCAGGGTTTTACAGAGGTCCCAGTTCAAGGCGGTGGCAGAGATCATCAGTTACATTGACACTCTCTTGACTTGTCTGTTTTGGGATACATTTACAATGTGCTGTACATGTTTCAGGGTTTTACAGAGGTCCCAGTTCAAGGCGGTGGCAGAGATCATCAGTTACATTGACACTTTCTTGACTTGTCTGTTTTGGGATACATTTACAATTTGCTGTACATGTTTCAGGGTTTTACAGAGGTCCCAGTTCTAGGCGGTGGCAGAGATCATCAGTCAAATTGACACTTTCTTGACTTGTCTGTTTTGGGATACATTTACAATGTGCTGTACATGTTTGAGGGTTTTACAGAGGTCCCAGTTCAAGGCGGTGGCAGAGATCATCAGTTACATTGACACTTTCTTGACTTGTCTGTTTTGGGATACATTTACAATGTGCTGTACATGTTTCAGGGTTTTACAGAGGTCCCAGTTCAAGGAGGTGACAGAGATCATCAGTTACATTGACACTTTCTTGACTTGTCTGTTTTGGGATACATTTACAATGTGCTGTACATGTTTCAGGGTTTTACAGAGGTCCCAGTTCAAGGAGGTGACAGAGATCATCAGTTACATTGACACTTTCTTGACTTGTCTGTTTTGGGATACATTTACAATGTGCTGTACATGTTTCAGGGTTTTACAGAGGTCCCAGTTCAAGGCGATGGCAGAGATCATCAGTTACATATACAGTAGAACCTCTTTAATCCGAACCCCCGTAATCCGAACGTCCACTAATCCGAACCCCTCATTGCTGTACTCTATACACAGTATAGCAGTTCTTTATTGTATACTGTATTTAATTTACAGTAGTGTTTATTCACTATGTTAACTACTGTATTAAATAAACACTGTATTTTACTTTATAAAACCTTTTTTCACTATTCCCAAAATAATGTTGATCAATTTTAGCCATGTTTTAGCTATTGTTAAGTAAAAACAACAATATGTTCTGTAATCCGAACTATTCAATAGTCCGAACTACCCCTGGTCCCAATTAGTTCGGATTAAAGAGGTTCTACTGTACACTTTTTTGACTTGTCTGTTTTGGGATACATTTACAATGTGCTGTACATGTTTCAGGGTTTTACAGATGTCCCAGTTCAAGGCGGTGGCAGAGATCATCAGTTACATTGACACTTTCTTGACTTGTCTGTTTTGGGATACATTTACAATGTGTTGTACATGTTTCAGGGTTTTACAGATGTCCCAGTTCAAGGCGGTGGCAGTGATCATCAGTTACAT